TTCCACTCACAGTTTGAGAACCTGCTGAGGGTCTCTGTGACAGTTTTACATGTGCTTATGGTATTTGATTTAGTAACAACAGCACCTTGTGTCTAGCTGCTCAGCCTCTCAGAACATCCTGTGAGAAACAGGGTAGGAATTCTCCATTTGCTAATGATAGATCAAGGCTCAGTGAGTTGTCTAAAGTATCATACTAGCCAGTGTGAAGAGAGAGGTAGACACTCACAGCATCATGGTGAAATATTTTTAGATGAGTTTTCTGTTGCAGGATGAGACTCTGCATTTTCAGAATATATTGGTTTGATATGCCCATGTATTGAAAGGTCCTGATACAACTTGCATTCAAAGGTGGGAGCCTGAGGATATAATTGTGACATGGATGGATTAAACCATCAGTGGATTAAAAATATGAATGCACTATTGGGAGGTATTAGAACTGTGAAGGTGGGGCCTAGTTGGGGGTTGTAGGTCACTTGGGCTAAGGATGGAGTTTGTCCTCTGCCCCTTGTGCATGATATTCAGCTTTGCTTCAGGCTCACAGCAACGGAGCCAGCTAGCCACAGACCAAACCTCTGAAACTATAATCTAAAATAAATATTTCCTCCCTTTACATTTTTTCTCATATATCAGCAGCAAAAAGTCTGACCAATGTGATATGGCATATGGTCTGATATTTGTATTTTCTCACAGTTTTTATCTTGAAATAAATCTTGTCTTTTGTGACTACTCTATTGATGAAGAGCCATTATTAAGCACTTGTATCCATTTTTCATCTCAACTCTTTTCTTAAAGATTGGGTTTGGGTAGGGGCAGAGTGTAGTGTATAATTCCTGCCTAGAATGAGCAGCTTTGGGTTCAGTCCCCCACACAGCAAAAAAATGAAACAAAAAATTTAATTTCCTTTCCGTTTCTGTTATAGATTAGTGTTTTAATGTGTGTTGCTTTTATTTATGTTGCATTTGTTTAACTCTGTGAAGCTACTGTGCCTGTCTAAAACATCTGATGGTCTAAAGAACTGAACGGCCAATAGCAAGGCAGGAGAAAGGATAAGTGGAGCTGGCAGGCAGAGAGGATATATAGAAGGAGAAATCCGGTGCAGGGGGTGGGAAAGAAGGAGTGAGAGAAGGGGGAGGACTTCATGGGCCAGTCACTCAGCTACACAGCCAGACATGGAGTAAGAAACAAAGCAAAGTATATAGGAATAGTAAAGATGAAAGCCCAGAGGCCAAAGATAGAAGGGATAATTTAAAGTTAAGGAAAGCTGGAAAGAAACAAGCCAAGCTAAGGCTGGGCATTCATAATTAAGAGAAAGAAAAACAAATAAGCCAAGCTAAGGCCAGACATTTATAAGTAATAAGTCTCTATGTGTGTTTTATTTGGGAGCTGGGTGGTGAGCCCCCAAAGAGAAAAGAGTAAAACAACAATAGTTTTCCATTTAAATATACCTGTCAGCATTCATAAATGAGATTTTTTTCACGAAGTTCACAATTATTATGGCTGAAGAGAAGGCTCCGTGGGTAAAGTGCTTGCTGCACAAGTATGAGGACCTGAGTTCAATCCCCAGCACCCCTGTAAAAAGCCAGGTGTGGTGGTGAGTGCCTGTCATCCCAACCCTTGAGAACTGAGACAGAAGGATCCCTGAGATTTATTGACTAGGTAGTCAAGTTCCAAGTTCAATGAGAGACCCTATCTCAAAAAAAAAAAAAGTCACAGTGACAGAGTCACAGTGGTGCATACCTTTACCTCAGCACTTGGGAGGAAGTATGGGGACTGGCAGTCAGTCTGGTCTGCACACTGAGTTCCAGGCCAGCTGGGACTACATGAGACCCCATCTCAAAACAAAATAAGGGTAGAGAGTGATTGTAGAAGACCACTGATGTTAACCTTGGTCTCCATACACACGCACACACATGAATGAGCAGCCCCCCCTCACATTTACACACACATGAACACATACATACAGTTCACAGTTATCTACAAACAAAGAATTTTTAAATCTAGGATTTCAACAGACAGTACTTTTAACAGTTTGTTTAAATGTTATATAAATCCATATTTATATAAGGTAAAACATGATATTTATAAGACAGATTATCATCTTTCTCTATATGTGTTGTGTAAGTTGGGCTTTTTTTTTTTTTACAACTTCTTCCTACTGAGAACACATTCTTTCTTACACTCCCTCAATCTTAATTATCCCTCAGCTCCCATCCCACCTATTCTGTAAAAACCTCTGTTGATTGCTCCAAACAGAAGGGACCTTGCTCTTATCTGAACGCACACAGCCAGCGTCGTGGCAGTTAAACTGACATTACCTTTTTGATGTCTCTTTTATTGTTCTTTGAATTTGTCAGTTAAGCCTTTCCTTGTGATTCATGTTTCCAGTTTGTCTCCCCAGCTAGATTGTGCACTCCCTGAAGGCAGGCACTTTCCCGTCTCTATTATCTCCGCAGCTTCTCTAGCACCTGCTAGAATGGCGTGTGCATAATAGATGCTCAATAAACACTTGTTTCATTAGTGTTTCTCCTAAACAAGTAAACTCCAAAGATCTTGATTTCCTACAAGTTCCAAAAGCCCTTCTACTAACTAATAATAATTAGATAGTTAAACTAAAGGGACTGCCATTGTGATAACTCTCATGGAAGCACAGAACATGCAAGTAACCTTAATTCATTTTTTAGAGGATGTAAAAAGTCACAGAGGTAATATGCATGCCTAGGAACCTTAAGAGTACAGACCACTGGGAACCTATAGCAAGTGAAACTGGATGATAGATACAAAGTAGCGGACAGAACACATGGCTTGTTTGTCTTTGTTCCCTCAACAAGGGACATCAGAATAGGCCCTCAGAATGTGTTTGTTCAAAGAACATGTCAATCTCTCCCCAACCTAAAGCTTTTGGGGGTACTTGATGTTCCTCTTAGAACTGTCCACTCTACAACCCTAGGCAGAACCTCTCCCCTTATTCTTTGGTGAGAAGGTCAGATCCTCAATAGGGCTGCCACAAAACTGTCTTCTGGAGTACTGTGTATTCTGAGTGCAGTCTCTAAAGGCCTGGGATTTCCCATCTCTAGTATCCTGAAATCTCAGACCTATTACCCTGCTGGGAACTGTCTGTACCATGCTCCACCACCTCCATTCTCCAGGGACCAGCTCTCTTCCTTTTATTCCCTTACAATGCTGTGTTCTGTCTGATGCTCCCAGTTCTATTTATTTGGTTACTTATTCAGAAGCAGAATCTCAGTATTTAGCCCAGGCTGGATGTCTGGTGTCTATTATTTAAATCCTACATTTCCAAAACCATTCTCCCACTCTGCTACTGTAGACCTCCATTTTCATCTCCTGAGGTTGGGAGGGAATTTTTACTTCCTCTCTGGAGTTAATTTATAGCTGTGGGCTTGTCCTTAGTCACCCCTCTAATTTCTCTGCTTTTCCTTGGCTGTGTCCCCTTTGATTCTATCATGCCAGTATGGTAAATTAGAGGTCCCAGCTGGGGCTACCTAGCACAAATCTGAATGGATGTTGGCACCTAAGTTTTCTGCTTCTCGTGTCTATTCTAAGATGTGTGTATGTAAGTGAAAACATGTACATGAATGTGCTTTCTAAACTAGAACACTCTACACAAATCTCTGATTATCATTACTCATATATTTCTCTGATTAGAAATTTAACAGTCTTTGTTTACTCTTGAAAATGCAAATATAGGGACTAGGGTATAGTTTAGCATATACAAAGCCGTAGGTTCAACCCATAGTACTGAAACAAATGCATGAGTATAAACACATACATTAATTAGACTATAAAGGGAAATGCAGAAAGCACAGGAAACAAAATAGCAGCCATTTTCTCTGTTACTTCCCTAGTCCTGTTGTAAGGAATTGCCACAAGTTCGCTGGTGTAAAGGGGCACAAATGAAAGGTTCAGAGTCAATGGTGGAGTGTGGTGGAGTGTCCTCTCTCTCTCCAGCCCTCCTGCCTCCTTAAAAGGAACCTGTGGTAATCCAAAAAAGGTCCCTAGATAATCCAAGATAATCTCCCATCCCCCATTCATAACAATCACATCTATAAAGTCCTTCTGCCATGTAAGGTATCATAATTATTCATAGAAAATAAAACATACAGAGTCACAGATTATCACACATGTAATCTTGAATAAGTAAAAGCATATTATAGAATATATGTATATACATATATATATATATAATCTCTAAGAGACTTAAAAACATATAAAGTGGAACTATATATTATTTCTGGTGCCTCTGTGTACACTAAAAGTATAAAGATGTATAAAATTGTCAACCCACTAAATGTAAGATGGAAGTTCCCACCTATCCTCAAGGAGGAGGAAAAGCTACATGTTCAGCAAGGGGTACCCAGTGCTGGAGGTTCTGTTGATGTCACTTTATCTTTGAAGTGGGGAGAGGGCATATGATATTGATTGCATGATTACTTAGACCTTTTTGTTTCTGAAATATTTCCCACTACATGATTTAAAGAAAACATGGATAATCTGAGTTATTAGTGAACTATTGGTAGGAAAAAGAACAGATACAAGGCTCTTAACTCATTTCTGGTTATTCATTTTTCTATTTAAGAACATCCTTTAGATAGGTCCAGTCCCTGGACAGTGTAAAATAGTTTCCCAATAAGATATAAGCATAGCAATAATGGACAGAAATAAGAGGCCCAACTAACAACTAGGTTGGATGAGTTTCAGTCATTTAAACTTTGGATGGATGATGTAACTTTGATCCCATTTATAGACAGAAAGCCTGGTCTCCCTTACGTCAGTGTGGATGACACAGATATAGATTTACAGTCAGCTCATCAGAACACAGTGAGTACTGGATGCTCCCTGATCCTGTCTACCACATGCGTGTGGAGGGTATTTTAGTGTCATATATACCAACTGTTCAACTTACCTGCTGCTCTAAGGTATCTGGATCAATAAAAGTCACCAGATCTATAGAAAAGTAACCAATCACATCTCTCTTTTTGCAGGCATTTCCAATTTGGAGACATAAAGAACTGAGAACTTGGGGATCCACTGAGGTCTGAGGCATGGTGGTACCGGAAGAAATTAAGGGACCTTCAGAATGAAACTGGTCCCCCGTTGACAGTACTCTGACTTCTCCATCAGGCTCTATCAACATGTCTACGGTGAGGTTGGTGACACTGTCTGCAGGTGGGTATGCTTCAATCACGCCACCTGGTTGGAAAACCATGGAGTAGATGAAAGAACACAGTCAAGGGAATGGCCCACTTGCAGGAAGAAGAAAAGGTCTATGTTTTGGCAGGAGGACTTGGACTCAGATCTTGCACTTGTCATCTTGGGAAACTGGACAAGTAGTTTGCTTTTCTTTATTTATAAAATGGCTAATACCTACCTCACTGAGCTGTTACAAAGCTTGAGAAATTGTGTCTATGGTATTTAGCCTGGTACTTGACACATGGGAGGGCTCAATGAACAATAGTCTTGATTATGATCATAATTACAAACCCTTTACAAATGCCATACTTAGAACTACTCATTACATTAATGAAGACTCCAAGTATTATGGTCAAATCCCTCAGAGGGAATTAACTTTTCACTGTCCACTGTTTATATCCCAATAACCAGTGCTCTTTCTGTCTAGCATTATTGCTTTTCTCAGGTGTGACAGGTGTGGGCTTTTAGTAGGCATAGAAAATACTGGCCATCATGGTGGTCATAGGAATCCTGTAGAAAACCAAACACAGGGACTGGGTCCTGTTGGTAAAGTGCTTGCCACAAAAGCATGAGAATTTAACTTTAAATCTCAGCACCTATGTAAAAACTGAGTGTGGTGACATATGCCTATAACCTCAGTACTAGAGAGGCAGAGACAGGAAGATCCTTGAGGTTTATTGGCTAGCTCATGCAGTTGAACCAGCAAGTCCTACATTTTGTGAGAGATCCTGTCTCAAAAGTGAGGTGGCAAGCAATCAGGAAGACATTCAGCACCAACCTCTGGTCTCCACATGCATGCACATTCACCACCCCACACACATACACACAAAGGAAAAGTGAACAAGTCCCAGGACTTGCTGCTTTTGAAAACTAAGTAATAGGGTATGATTTCTGTCCATCTCTACAAACCACACTTGAAGCAGTATCATATATAGTAAAATTCTGAGATTTTTAGCAGTTCTTAAAGGGAGTCATAGAAGAGACACTTTCATTCAATGTCTATGAATTTGATAAGGGGTAGCCTTAATGAATGCTAAATTTCAGAAGGAAAATGTTTTTTTTGGGGGGGTGCATAGTCAATCTATTTTATCTGCTGAGTTTGTTCAATACGCTCTTCAAATGAGGTTTGCTATAGTGCATAACAACTGAATACCAGTTGATGGGGGTTTAATAAGAATATAACTAAACAAAAAACAAGCAAACCAGTGAGTCTCTGTGATTCAGCTAACTTGGTGTTTTGGCTGTCACTTATGATAACATATAGGTATCCTTTATGATTTGCAAGATCACTTTGGATACCATGGAGTTTTGAATGAGAAACATCCCCCATAGGCTCACATGGTTAAATACTTGGTCCTCTGTTGGCAGAGCTGTTTGGGGGCTCATGGAGCCTTGTTGGAGAGAGGACATCACTGGGGCTGGCTTTAAGAGTTTATAGCCTTGCCCTACTTGCACTTTGACCTTTCTGCTTCCTGCTTGAGGTTTGAAAATGTGATCTCTCAGTTTCCTATTCTGACTGCCTGCTGCCATTCCTCCCTCACTATTATTAACTCTCCCTCTGGAAGCAGAAGCAAAAACAAAACAAAACAAAACACCTCTTTCTTTCATAAGTCATTTTTGGTCATGGTGTTTTATCACAGCAAAAAATAAAAGAGTAACCAATGCAGATGTATTATTTCAAATATGCTTGGTTGTGTTGTCTTCTGAACATCAAGACTTTAGCTAGCCTTTTTCCTCACAAAGCAACTGGTTTTTTCCAAAGTCTTCTTGTCTTTGATGTAAATCTATGACAATGTAGAAATCAAATCTGGAGTACATTTTGTGGCCATAAGCTTACTCAAGAGACTAGAAGTGGGATGAAATAGGCAATGATGGGAGCTGGTGAGAGATGGTAACCTTAGAGTCAGGGATGTGGGGGATGTCCTGCTCAAGCCAGAAAATACACAAGGCCTCCTGCATGCACTAGCTTCAGACCCACACAGAACCTTCAGAAATGCATTACAGATGACAGTGGTTCTCAACCTTCCTAATGCTGCAACCCTTTAATTCAGTTCCTCATGTTGTGGTGACCCCCCAGCCAAAAAATTATTTTCATTGCTATTTCATAACTGTAATTTTGCTGTTATGAATTGTAATGTAATATCTGATATGCAGGATATCTGATATGTGACCCATGTGAAAGGGCTGCTTGACCCCAGAGGGGTCATGACACACAGGTTGAGAACCACTGACTTATAAGAACAATGTTTTAAAATACTGAAATTATAGGATCTAATTGTGCTCCCATTCACTACTTATCTGGAGTGTTATTTTTCCCACATCTCTGAGCCTCAGTTTCTTCCTCTGTGAAATGGGTTAATAAAGCCTGTTCTGCTTCTTATCCATAGTATTTATAACATGACTGAGGAAGAAGGAAGGAGGAGAACAGAAGGTGGTAAAGGTGAAGCCTCAGCTGTGGCCACATAGCTCAGGTGAGAGAGTGCTGGAAACTCAGATAAAAAGAAATGGTCTAGAGCAATGGTTCTCAACCTGTGGGTCCAGGACCCCTTGGTAGTTGAACAAGCCTTTCACAGGAGTCACATATCAGATATCTCGCACATCATATATCCCACATATCAGATATTTACATTACAATTCATAACAGTAGCAAAATTACAGTTATGAAATAGCAATGAAAATAGTTTTATGGCTGGGGGTCACCACAATATAAAGAGCTATATTAAAGGGTCACAGCATTAGGAAGGTTGAGAACCACTTGTCTGGAGGAAGGATTTTCAGGCTGACCTTGGATTATGTAAGCTTCCTAATGCTTTGTCTAAGATGGACTTGGAGGTCTTTATGATTTTTCCCTCTTAATTTAAATCCCTTCTAAACTTGTTTATTTGCTTGCTTGTGAAGGACACTGTGTTTCTTCCAATTCCAAACAGAGCTGATTTTCTTACTTTTTCTTTTCTGTCCAGGGGTGCATGTGGAAATTTGTTTATTCATACACTTACAGAGAGGACACTGAAGGTACCCTAACACACATGCACACACACACACACACACACACACACACACACACACACACACACACACACCAACGCCCACCCCACCCCCCAGCATTCCTGTTAGATAGCTGGCATCCAACCTCTTATTTAAATAATTCATTAATAGGGCATCTGCCACACTCTGCCCAGCCAATGTATTCAACAGCCAACAGGCCTGTCCTTTCTGACAAACCCTTTCATACATAGGGCTGAGTCATGCTCCTGATGAATAGACCCACTGGCTCTGGCCAAGACTCCTGCAGAAACCTGGGGATAGACTCTTATGGGCTCTTCTATGTGTTGGCAGATCATTTGGGGTGATCTAATCTTTTGTTCCATGGGCTCCATGTGCTTCAAATAAGGGTTATAGCAGTACCCACTCATGAGATTGATAGGAGGATGACATAAGTTAATATGCATCTACTTAGGATGATATTGGCATATAACACCTACTGTGTGCTCAGTGGATCTCATCACTGTGCTATTACCATCGCTGTGTTGTCATTATAACACGATAGCATTAGCAGTTTATCGTCATATATTGAGGCCAGTGGACTATTATCACCATCGCTTGACAGCAGCAAGTAAATGTGTGAAGCTGATTATGTGGGCCTTATACTGCAACCTCCTGGAGAGGGAGAGCCTTTGCCTAGATGTGTCCTTGTGTGGCACCCCAGAGGCCTCTAGGACTGCACGTCAACTTTGTTCTGTTCATCCCCTCATTCATAATTGACTTCCCAATGTCATTACAAAATGAGAATGAGGAAGGAGAGGAATATAAAAAGAATGGAGGCTGGTTTTATTCCTAGTCTATAGAGGATTCTGGTTTGAAAATGTTACCTTTCTGAGCTAGGCCATTTCTGCTCTCCTAGAAAGTGGGAGAGGAAACTAGGTTTAGTAAAGGCCTTGATTCATCACTCTGTGATAGACATGTTTCTGTTTCTATTCCTGAATTTTCCCAACAACCATATTCATAAGTAACTGAGAAAACTGGGTCTCTGAGGATTGACCAAGGTCACTTGTGGTTCAGATGGAGAGCCTTCGCTCAAGACAAGTCTGGTCTAAGAAATGCCCGGAGTACTAAGTTCTGGATGGCATGCTTGGCATGCTCAGTTCCTATTTACTTTAGAGGCTGGATGCAAGATAAATATTTAGTCAGTGCTTGAAAAAGAACAAAGTCAGCGGCAGAACATTTCCTAAACCAACACCAGCTAATGCAGAGTATTTGAATTGGCCCTGGCTTGCCCCAGAACTAGAACCTAAGCTGGTACATACTGATCCTCAGTAGAAACTTTACAGTCTTATTTACCTTGAGAGAGAAACGTTTGGAGGAATTTCCTCCACGTCGGGAACTGTTTCTCATTGACTAGCTGTACGTGCTGTGCTAAAATGCCCGCCAGCTCCTTGGAGATCTTCACCAGAGCTGGCTCCTGCAGAAACAAATTAAATAGAACCACAAGCAATTTTACTACAGAAATGAAAACTGCTTGTGGAGTGATTAAAAACCAGGCCTCCAACAGGCAAAAAAATGTGGTTACTGTTTACCCAGAGCCAGAAAGCCATTTTGAGATTGTTCTATTTTTCCAGCCATTTCACTTTTCATATTTCAAAGTGATTCCCCCTTCCTGAAATCAATGCTAATTGTGCATACTGTCTCCAAAAGGCACCCTGTGCTGGTCTTCGGGAGCCCAGGCTTCAGACCCACTGCAGCCTGACCTGCAGAGAGTCCTCTCCCTGTCCACTTTGAATCTCAGTTTCTCATTCTGTAAAATGTAGAGCTGAATAGCTTGTCCCTTAGCTCCTTAGACGAGAACAGCTTTTTTTCTAGGAATCTAACTGTACTTGAGCCTAGGAGGAACAATGGAGTTGGGCGGTCTTTCTTTGGCACTCTCTTTAGTCTGTGCCCACTCTTGGTGGGCAGCTGCCTTTGATAGTGGTGGAAGGGAAAGCCTAAACTCTTGGCTGAAACTGTAAAGGTGACAGCCTAAGTTTGGGAACATGTTCTATGGTCAGCCATAGTCAACCTGAAGTCCTTGCAGATCATAGTGTCACCTGTCTAGCTGTCTAGCTGGCCCCGTCATCGATGAGATGATCCAAAGACAACAGAGCCTCCCATCAGGAATGAAAACAGTAGAAAGCTCTCTAATCAATAGGAAGGCTATCTTTTTCTATAAAAGGTGTGACTTGCTATGATAATTTCTTTTCTATCCTAAGTTATAATGCTCTGAAGACTCACTAAACTTTTCAAATGGAAGCCACAGTTCAGACATTATTTCTGTCAGATGCAGGGCAGGGCACTGCATACAAGCACTTTTGGTGGTCAGTATTCATGTTATAATGCACAACAGGGACAAGCAAAGCTCTAGCTTGCTTTGGGGTCCCAGACAAACTATGAATCTAAGAGTGAACACTGAGTAAATTGTAAGAATCAGCTCTAGGGATGGGGCTGGTTGTAATCCTAGAAATCATCTGCATACTCATTTTTCCAGTTTCCCTAACATTAAAAATTGATTGTCCTTTATCCTATGCCATCTCCCAACTCCTTAAAACATCTGGTTGATTCTGTTTCAACGCCCACTGAAAATCCAGAATAAAAGACAAACATCTTAGAGTATATGATAGGCAGGTCCAAATAATCTGAATTGTTTCTAACTACCCAGAAACTCCTGTGGGTTGTGTCATTAGTTAGTTTTAGTAAGTGATTGACGTACAAAACGAAAACACACTCAGAAGCAGAGTGCTCTGGCCTACCCCAATTTCAGAATGATTTGCCAGCACAAGGTACAGAGTTCTGCTGGAAAGAGCTGGGGAACCCTGCTCTTGCAGTAAACCTTTGCCTTGTTATGTGGAAGCAAGGACAATGCCAGTCAAAGCAATGGGCCCTTCCCCACTTCATACCCTGTACACTGTACATTTACTGTCACTGTTACTGTAAATTTACTGATGGTGTTGAAGCTTACTCATGTGCAAATCATGAGCAAACAGCTGCAGCTCAGGGAGCCCCTCTGCTCTCTGAACAGCCCACAGTCTCTGGTCTCACACTTGTCTCAGCTCACATTCTGCTCCGTGAAAGAAAACTGTCTCTGAAGGGGCTGGGGGTGGGCAGTGAAGCCTAGCTTTAGATTCTGCCCCTTTCTGGAAAATGATGCCAGAGAAAAGAAACCTAACAGCCCAAACCTCTCTTGGAAAAGTGGAGAATTCTCTTTTTTTTCTGCCTTGATTAAAGGGCCTTTTCTGCCCCTCCCCCTTTTGAAGGGAAGTTATATATTCATTTAAGTAACTGCAGGAGAAGAAAAAAATATGTGCTGGGGGCTGTTTTTGCAAAGGGAAAATGGAGAGGAAACAGTGAAGGCGCAGATGAAAAGCCCTGCAGCTTGATTTGGAACCTGTGTCTCCATTAGCTTGAGGACCAGGGAGGTGCCAGCTCTTCAGCAGGAGACTAAGTATGGCACACAGGTCTGCAGTTGCCATGAGGACGCCCATTACTTTGTATGCTAACCTCCAAAACAAACAAACAAACAAACAGCCTCTGTGATATGCCTGGTCTCTACTAATACAGTCTTGCCTCCCCCAGACTTTCTGTCATCCCCCCCGGAGCTCACTCCTCCTCATCTTTTATTCCCAGAAGCCTTCCCCCTCTGCTATAGTCAGGTGTCTTTCTCAACCACTCACATATCCTCTAGCTCTTAAATGACAAAGACATTAGCTTAAAGGCAAACTTCCCATGCCCAGGAGAAGAACGCTCCATGTTTGCATAATGAATCATGATAGTATTGAACATGGGAGATGGTCCTTAATAGTTGACGCTACAGAATAAAAGAAGATGTGAGCTGGGCGGTGGTGGCGCACGCCTTTAATCCCAGCACTTGGGAGGCAGAGGCAGGCGGATCTTTGTGAGTTCGAGGCCAGCCTGGTCTAGAGAGCGAGATCCAGGAAAGGCGCAAAGCTGCACAGAGAAACCCTGTCTCGAAAAACCTAAAAAAAAAAAAAAAGAAAATGTGAATCTCTCAATAGACCTCCTCCTTACTTCCAAGGAACCACCTGAAGGACTGGCTACTTTAGAACCACCAATTCCTCTTGGGTGGATTTCACAGGACTCCCTGCCTCTGAGGGCTTCAGAAAGATAAATGAGGTGACATATATGGAGTGTCACCTCAGTTGCGCCATGTGTGAGAACCAATAATTAACTTACAAGGCTTCTGGACACAGTGTCAGGCTGCCACTACTACTTCTGCTTACAGAGTGAGCCATTCTGCCACAATGGCAAGCACTGCACTGTGCACAAAATCACAAGGAGGTAGATTTCCAGAAGGGAAATCTGCTCCAGGGGTCTGGAGGATGCCTCGTGTGCCATCAGCTGAAGGCGCTGACAGGGCAGCATTCAGTGGGGAAGCTGGGGCATTCAGAGGCAGCTTGGGGTCATGATTAGCTCTCTAAGAAAA